GAGGTAATAGTTCAAAAATACCCACATGTAGTAGAGGTATTAGTTCAAAAGTACCCACATGTAGTAGAGGTAATAGTTCAAAAGTTCCCACATGTAATAGAGGTAAGAGTTCAAAAATACCCACATGTAGTAGAGGTTATAATTTAAAAGTACCCACATCTAGAACAGGTAATAGTTCAAAAGTATCCACACGTAGCAGAGGTAATAGTAGAAGATGTTATAGTTCAAAACGTGTCCTCATGTAGTAGAGGTTATTGTTCGAAAGTATCCGCATGTAGAAGATGTTATAGTTCGAAAGTATCCGCATGTAGTAGAGGTAATAGTTTAAAAGTGTCCGCATGTAGTAGAGGTAATAGTTCAAATGTATCGACATGTAGTAGAGGTAATAGTTTAAAAGTACCCGCATGTAGTAGAGGTAATAGTTCAAAAGTATCCGCATGTAGTAGAGGTAATAGTTCAAAAGTATCCACAGGTAGTAGAGGTTATAGTTCAAAAGTATCCGCATGTAGTAGAGGTAATAGTTCAAAAGTATCCACATGTAGTAGAGGTTATAGTTCGAAAGTACCTACATGTAGTATAGGTAACAGTTCAAAAGTACCGACATGTAGTAGAGGTTATTTTTTTAAAATACCCAGATGTAGTAGAGGTAATAGTTCAAAGGTATCCTCATGTAGTAGAGGTTATAATTTAAAAGTATCCACATGTAGTAGAGGCTATAGTTCAAAAGTATCCACACGTAGCAGAGGTTATAGTTCAAAAGTATCCACATGTAGTAGAGGTAACAGTTCAAAAGTACCGACATGTAGTAGAGGTTATTTTTTAAAAGTGTCCACATGCAGTAGAGGTAATAGTTCAAAAGTATCCACATGTAGTAGAGGTAATAGTTCAAAAGTGCCGCATGTAGAAGATGTTATAGTTCGAAAGTGTCCGCATGTACATGTAATAGAGGTAAGAGTTCAAAAATGTCCGCATATTTTTAGAGGTTATAGTTCAAAACGTGTCCTCATGTAGTAGAGGTTATAGTTCGAAAGTATCCACATGAAGAAGATGTTATAGTTCGAAAGTGTCCACATGTAGTAGAGGTTATAGTTAAAAAGTATCAACATGTAGTAGAGGTAATAGTTCAAAAGTACCCGCATGTAGTAAAGGTTGTAGTTCACAAGTACCCACAGGTAGTAGAGGTTATAGTTCGAAAGTACCTACATGTAGTAGAGGTTATAGTTCGAAAGTACCCACATGTAGTAGAGGTAATAGTTCAAAAATACCCACATGTAGTAGAGATAATAGTTCGAAAGTACCCACATGTAGTAAAGGTTATAGTTCACAAGTACCCACATGTAGTAGAGGTTATAGTTCACAAGTACCCACATATAGTAGAGGTAATAGTTCAAAAGTTCCCACATGTAGTAGAGGTAATAGTTCAAAAATACCCACATGTAGTAGAGGTTATAATTTAAATGTACCCATATGTAGTAGAGGTAATAGTTCAAAAGTGTCCGCATGTAGAAGATGTTATAGTTCGAAAGTATCCGCATGTAGTAGAGGTAATAGTTTAAAAGTGTACGCATGTAGTAGAGGTTATAGTTCAAATGTATCCACATGTAGTAGAGGTAATAGTTCAAAAATACCCACATGTAGTAGAGGTTATAATTTAAATGTACCCATATGTAGTAGAGGTAATAGTTCAAAAGTGTCCGCATGTAGAAGATGTTATAGTTCAAAAGCTCCCACATGTAGAAGAGGTAATAGTTCAAAAGTATCCACACGTAGCAGAGGTAATAGTTCAAAAGTGTCCGCATGTAGTAGAGGTTATAGTTCAGATGTATCCACATGTAGTAGAGGTAATAGTTCAAAAGTGTCCGCATGTAGAAGAGGTAATAGTTCGAAAGTATCCACATGTAGAAGATGTTATAGTTCAAAAGTTCCCACATGTAGTAGAGGTAATAGTTCAAAAGTGTCCGCATGTAGAAGATGTTATAGTTCGAAAGTATCCGCATGTAGTAGAGGTAATATTTTAAAAGTGTCCGCATGTAGTAGAGGTAATAGTTCAAATGTATCCACATGTAGTAGAGGTAATAGTTCAAAAGTGTCCGCATGTAGAAGATGTTATAGTTCAAAAGTTCCCAGATGTAGTAAAGGTAATTGTTCAAAAGTATCCACATGTAGTAGAGATAATAGTTCAAAAGTATCCACATGTAGTAAAGGTTATAGTTCGAAAGTATCCACATGTAGCAGAGGCAATAGTTCAAAAGTGTCCGCATGTAGAAGAGGTAATAGTTCGAAAGTATCCACATGTAGCAGCGGTAATAGTTCAAAAGTGTCCGCATTTAGAAGATGTTATAGTTCGAAAGTGTCCGCATGTACATGTAATAGAGGTAAGAGTTCAAAAATGTCCGCATATTTTTAGATGTTATAGTTCAAAACGTGTCCTCGTGTAGTAGAGGTAGTAGTTTAAATGTATCCACATGTAGTAGAGGTATTAGTTCAAAAGTGTCCGCATGTAGAAGATGCTATAGTTCGAAAGTATCCGCATGTAGTAGAGGTAATAGTTCAAAAGTTCCCACATGTAATAGAGGTAAGAGTTCAAAAATACCCACATGTAGTAGAGGTATTAGTTCAAAAGTGTCCGCATGTAGAAGAGGAAATAGTTCGAAAGTATCCACATGTAGCAGAGGCAATAGTTCAAAAGTGTCCGCATGTAGAAGAGGTAATAGTTCGAAAGTATACACATGTAGCAGAGGTAATAGTTCAAAAGTAACCAGATGTAGTAGAGGTTATAGTTCAAAAGTATCCGCATGTAGTATAGGTAATAGTTCAAATGTACCCACATGTAGTAGAGGTTATAGTTAAAAAGTATCCACATGTAGTAGAGGTTATAGTTAAAAAGTATCCACATGTAGTAGAGGTAACAGTTCAAAAGTACCGACATGTAGTAGAGGTTATTTTTTAAAAGTGTCCACATGCAGTAGAGGTAATAGTTCAAAAGTGTCCACATGTAGAAGATGTTATAGTTCAAAAGTTCCCACATGTAGGAGAGGTAATAGTTCAAAAGTTCCCAAATGTAGTAGAGGTAATAGTTCAAATGTATCCACATGTAGTAGAGGTTATAGTTAAAAAGTATCCACATGTAGTAGAGGTAATAGTTCAAAAGTTCCCAAATGTAGTAGAGGTAATAGTTCAAAAGTTCCCAAATGTAGTAGAGGTAATAGTTCAAAAGTATCCAATCCGCATGTAGTAGAGGTAATAGTTTAAAAGTATCCACATGTAGTAGAGGTTATAGTTAAAAAGTATCCACATGTAGTAGAGATTCTAGTTCAAAAGTATCCACATGTAGTAGAGATCATAGTTCAAAAGTATCCACATGTAGTAAAGGTTATAGTTCGAAAGTATCCACATGTAGTAGAGATTATAGTTCAAAAGTATCCACATGTAGTAAAGGTTATAGTTCGAAAGTATCCACATGTAGCAGCGGTAATAGTTCAAAAGTGTCCGCATGTAGAATATGTTATAGTTCAAAAGTTCCCACATGTAGGAGAGGTAATAGTTCAAAAGTTCCCAAATGTAGTAGAGGTAATAGTTCAAAAGTTCCCACATGTAATAGAGGTAAGAGTTCAAAAATGTCCGCATATTTTTAGAGGTAATAGTTCAAAACGTGTCCTCGTGTAGTAGAGGTAGTAGTTTAAATGTATCCACATGTAGTAGAGGTATTAGTTCAAAAGTGTCCGCATGTAGAAGAGGAAATAGTTCGAAAGTATCCACATGTAGCAGAGGCAATAGTTCAAAAGTGTCCGCATGTAGAAGAGGTAATAGTTCAAAAGTATCCACAGGTAGTAGAGGTTATAGTTCAAAAGTATCCGCATGTAGTATAGGTAATAGTTCAAAAGTATCCACAGGTAGTAGAGGTTATAGTTCAAAAGTTCCCACATGTAGGAGAGGTAATAGTTCAAAAGTTCCCAAATGTAGTAGAGGTAATAGTTCAAAAGTATCCACAGGTAGTAGAGGTTATAGTTCAAAAGTACCCACATGAAGTAGAGGTTATAGTTCAAAAGTATCCGCATGTAGTAGAGGTAATAGTTTAAAAGTACCCGCATGTAGTAGAGGAAATAGTTCAAAAGTTCCCACATGTAGGAGAGGTAATAGTTCAAAAGTTCCCAAATGTAGTAGAGGTAATAGTTCAAAAGTGCCGCATGTAGAAGATGTTATAGTTCAAAAGTTCCCAGATGTAGAAGAGGTAATAGTTCAAAAGTACCCACATGTAGTAGAGGAAATAGTTCAAAAGTTCCCACATGTAGAAGAGGTAATAGTTCAAAAGTATCCACATGTAGTAGAGGTAATATTTCAAAAGTACCAACATGTAGTAGAGGTTATAGTTCAAAAGTATCCACATGTAGTAGAGGTAATAGTTCAAAAGTAACCAGATGTAGTAGAGGTTATAGTTCAAAAGTATCCACATGTAGTAAAGGTTATAGTTCGAAAGTATCCACATGTTGAAGATGTTATAGTTCGAAAGTGTCCGCATGTAGTAAAGGTTATAGTTTAAACGTGTCCGCATGTAGTAATGGTTATAGTTCAAACGTGTCCTTATGTAGTTAAGGTTATAGTTTAAACGTGTCCTCATGTAGTAAAGGTTATAGTTCAAACGTGTCCTCATCTAGTAAAGGTTATAGTTTAAACGTGTCCTCATGTAGTAAAGGTATAGTTCAAACGTGTCCTCATGTAATAAAGGTTATAGTTCAAACGTGTCCTCATGTAGTAAAGGTTATAGTTCGAACGTGTCCTCATGTAGTAAAGGTTATAGTTCAAACGTGTCCGCATTCATGTTACTAGTATTTTATTGGTTAATCAATAGCCTGTAAAATTTCTTCATGTATATTACATATTACCTATCCTGAAGTGGATATGTCCTGAATAACAAATGTTTGATCCTGGCAAAGCTGATAACGTGTCTGTCAGGATGTATTAAACATTTTCTTAACATTGATGTCGTAACAATGATGAAAGCGGGATAACCATACTTGAAAATATACAGACATTAACAGGAGGCTGGCAGTTTATTAAAATCATATTATTTACTTACTGGACCCGTGTGAATACATTTATCACTGTCAGCTTGATAAAACGAACTTACCAACCAGGTCCAGTAAATCTTAGTCATTCATCCCGTCATCATCCGGAGGCGTTTACTAAATAAGACTAATGTAGTAGGGGCTAATTTATATAATGAGGTGTTCGAAATAGTGTTTCACATTACTACTACATTTATCAAAATGTGTAACAAAGGGGATTCAATTCTGTTACTTTTGGTGATATGGCATTTAAACACAAATGCAGATTCGCAATTGATTGGAGAAGAAAAGAAGTATGTTTTCCTTGAACAAGCCATGCTAGAACGAGTGAGACCGATTTTACTGGCAACGACAAAGGCTCTGGAAACAAGAGTAGGGCGTCTGGAAGAGGAAAACAAGCAAATATTATCGGAATTAAACTCCATGAAGTATGGAAATCCTTCACCTGGTAAGGCAGACGTATGTTAGAATTTAGCGCTGGGATAATAGTGTGCGGTTTTGTACTTTAGCAATGGTTTTTTTTCGATATGACTTATCATTGGCCTGATAAATACTCGTTTCACAAATAGATATTTGAAGTGTTTATTATAAAATGCGTTAAAAACCATTATATCATGAAAATAACTCTTTACAAGAGCATTTGCGTTTATAGTGAAGAACGCAAGAAATCGTTCTCGTCAAAAAATGGTTGTCCAGGATCAACAAATCAAATTAATAGAAAATATTGACAACACTGCAGTTGTTAGTAATACATGAAGTCTGTATTACTAGTGTTTTGACTGTAGTTAAGTATGTTTATAATTTTCATTAATATATTGTCTTGTTGTTGTTTATATTTGTCAGTAATATATTGTCTTGTTGTTTATTTTTGTCTATAAGATATTGTCTTGTTGTGTGGAAGTGAACACTGATAACAAGAGGCCCAAAGGCCGTCAGTGCTCACCTGGTATTTATCTCACAACTGCAACCTTTAAAGTGGGCTTCAGGTAAAATATCAGTGTCTGACTCAGTCATTCAAAAGAAGCTGTTGAAAGATTAAAACACATTTAACCCATGTGACCTTGAAAGGCAAACAAGGACATTCAGTTGAACAAACTTTATAGCCCTTCATCTCGGAATGCCACTTGACAAATATAACCACCCTATTGAGAAAATGACCTTTAAATATTTGTACACAATTGACAAGGTGTGACCTTGAAAGTGTAAAAGTCATACAGATGCACAAACTTGATAATTGACATATTTGACCCCTGTGACCTTGAATATGAGTAAAGGTCATTCATTTAAACAAACTTGGAAGCTCTTTATTCCTGCATATTACTAGCCAAATATCATCACTCTGGATTTTTCGGTTATTCAGAAGTCGTTTAAACTTGGTAGACCTTATCCAAGTATTCTTATGGCCAAATATCATCATACCGGCCCTTTTGGTTATTCAAAAGAAGCCGTTTAAAGTTTTTTAAGACGATTGACCTCTATGACCTTGAATATGAGTGAACAAAGTTGGTATCCCAGTATGCTACTGGCCAAATACATGTATCATCACCCTAAGTCGTTTGGTTATTTAGGAGAAGTCTTTTTAAGGATTTCAACATGTTTGACCCCTGTGACCTTGAATATAGGCGAATGTCATTCATTTTCACAAACTTGGTAGCACTGAATTCCAGCATGCTACTCGCCAAATATCATTGCCCTGGATCTTTTGGTTATCCGGAAGAAGTAGGTTTAAGTTTTTATAAGACAATTGACCCTTGTGACATTTAATATGAGTGAAGGTCATTCATTTGAACAAACTTGGTAGCACTTCATCCTAGCCTGCTACTGGCCAAACTATCATCATCCTATGTCTTTTGTTATAGAGAAGAAGTTGTTTAAAGTAAAATCTTGATGCTGGACGGCGGACGGACGACGCGCCACGACATAAGCTCACTTGGTCCTTTGGGCCAGGTAAGCTTATAAATGGTTTCGTTTCTTTCTGGCGGATTAATTTATTACACATTATGATATTTGCATTGAACATATTCTACATTGCCATAATGAGATAAACTTGGGAACCATTTGTTATCGGGTTGACCTTGTCCTTTTGTATTTTTACTGAAGGGATGAATGGCTGCCCCGTATCAAACAACTGTGCATTAACTGGACTCATGTGAAAGTAAACAATAATGTTTTTTTCTTCAGTTTTGACACGAACATTTTAAATAACACATTTTTTTAGTCAATACAATCATACACACTAGGATAAAATCCCTAATGGGGGATACTAGTATTTTGTTTAACTTCTATTTTATTGTTGAAACCTTTAGCATTTGTTCTTCATTCATTTGAATAATTTCTCAATTATGATTTTTTTTTTTTTTTTTTTTTTTTAAAATTTTTTTAATTTTTTTTTTTTTTTTTTTTTTTTTTTGACAATTTATTAGTTTTAAAACAAACAAAAAGTAATGTATAATAGTTAGTTACAGAATATCCTAAATTTAGTGTCAAGGCTCCTGATAATTACGGCACGTCAAGCGTTCAAAGGATTCAATACTTTACATGTGGAATATTCAATGCTTGAAAGTTTGAATTGTTTAGTACTTTATATTTGAAATGTTCAATCTATAACAATTATAGTAATAAATTCTTTTAATGTCGAATAATATCTAATACTTTACATTTGAAATATTTGATACTTTACTTAGAAGTATTGAATACTTTACTTAGAAGTATTGAATACTTTACATTTCAAATTTTAATACTTTACATTAGAAATATTGAATACTTTACATTTGATTTTTTTTTATACTTTACATTGGAAATATTTAATACTTTACCCAGAAGTATTGAATACTTAACATTTGAAATTTTTGATACTTTACATTAGAAGTATTCAATACTTTACATTTGAAGTTTTCCGTACCTTACATTTGAAACATCAAACACTTTACATTTGAAATATTCAATGTTTTACTCTTACGTTGAAATCGTCTTATTTGCATATACTAACAGATTATTTGTATTCCTGACATTGTGTTATATTATTCTTTAATTGCATTATTGGTATGAAATTGACAAGGGATAAAGTAATTTTGATCACGGTTATGTTGTCTTTCTTTCGTATTACCTATCTTACATTTTATGCCCATCGATATGAGGTTCATAATGCGAAATTATACAATACAAAATACACATTTCACTGTATTTTGATGTGAAAGCTTTTACCATTTTACCTGAATATCAATATCATGCTGATATTGAATAATGCAACGCCTTTTGAAGTTAAGTAACATATAAAAAGAATTTCCGGAAAGGAGAAGAAAATTTCAACGAAAATTTGTAGTCATTGCAATGTTGTTGTGTGTCCCAAAATCTTGCACTGTGATCTATGGAAACCGGTGCTTTGGGAGGGTGTCGGCCACGTTGTAGAATAGCTTACCATCTGCTATTAGAAAGTCAAATACCCTGGCCAAATTCATGAGGTACATCAAAACTCCCCTCTTCACGTCTGCATTTTAGGCACTTTGCAAAGACGTCATGTAAATATCACCCTTTATTTATTCATTTATGTGCACATTGCGATGATTATCTGCTTGCTTAACGTATAAAAGTGATTGCAAGTCTTTGTTATCGTTTCACAGTTATAACTAATACTATTATCAATATGTTGTAAAACGCTTTAGAGTAATTTTACAAATTATATAGGGCGCTATATAAATGTTGTATATCATTAATATTATTAATGTTCTTACTTTTTTACGTTTAATATGCATATCTGTATTTCGTTTTTGGGAAAACATGTTTCAGGTCCCCGATTTTTGATGGACCCAGCAACCCTATATTCTTGCTTCCTCTCCAGTGATAAGCTAACATTGTCAAATAGACGACGGGGCAGCACCTATGACTGGCCAGCGGTAACTGACCGGAAATACATTGGAGTCCAGGGCTCATCGGTGATTACAAACCTACAAACCATTTACTTTGAAACTGACATCTATTATCGAATAGATCAGGATTTAAGTTCAGCCAACCTGGTTTTCGAGGTTGCATTTGCAACAGAAGAGGCGATTGGTGAAAGTTACTATGTCAGTCGACAAAAAGGGGCGTGGTCCATAAATGCGCACAATTCTGATACACAGGGAGTCACCCTCTTCTTCAAAAGTAACGGAGGCAATATAACGCATAGTGAAATTCTCAGTGACGCCACTTCCGGTACAGACAAATACTTGAAACTTGGATTCTTCATTAACAGAGTGGACAGAACCATCGCTGTGTTTGACATTAACATGAACAGGAAGATATCCACCTTTACTAACGTGGACGAGTCTCGGGAACTGTGGCCCGTATTCGGCGTTTATCGAGCTACAGAAACATTCGTTCGCCTTCGGTTAAACACTGAAAGAGACATATCCAGTGTTCCTTGTGGGCTGTTCTAGTTCATAGCTACTGCGTTCGCTAAATGCAATCCTATTTATTTATGACTACTGTGAAAACGACAAATGCAAGACCGACTTTCAAAAGCGACCTATTTTTAATTGTAATGACAGAAAAAAAATGTCCAGATGTAATAAGTTAGTACTGAAGTATTCCGTGTGTTTAGGATTTTTTGTGAATCCGAAAAAGGCAAGACCAACTCTGTTATTTGGTTGACATGTTAATAGGTTATATGTTATAAATTCTCAGTTTAATTCATGACGTTTCCTCAATGTCTCTATCACTTTTAACTTAATCCCGTGGTGGCCGAAGGGTTCTGAGATCATCTACGGTCACTAGGCCTCCTTCACTGGGTCGTTGGTTCGAGGCGTACGTGGGGCAGTTGCCAGGTACTGGGCGCAGGTCGATGGTTTTTCTCCGGGTGCTACGGTTTTCCTCCACTATCGAAACCTGGCACGTCCTTAAATTACCATAGCTGTTAATAGGACGTAAAACATTAATCAAACCGACTTAATCCTTTTCAGGCGGCTGCTTTGTTTTCAAAATACAAAATTTATATAAACCATTAATATAAGAAAACACTTTCATATACCATCGACTATCGTCATCATTCAACTCTTTCTTGGATGGAATGCTAGAGCAATTTACCTCTAAAGGTTTTCTCTGTGTACTCCGGTTTTCACCCGACAAGCTTGGTTAATGTAAGTTGAAAGTTCAATAATTATTGTAAAATAAATGTAGCTAAAAGAAAGTTTTAAGAATGCCATACCTCCTGCATGTTTGTGCTGAAGAATGATTCTAATGCGATATTTGTACCAGTAAAATGTCGGAAATAGCTGTTATTTTACTTTAGTTAGAGGCCGACCTTCGGGCATTATGCCTTACTTGTTACTACCTATAACTTGAACATAACTGCTTGGTGTTTGCACTGACTCATAAATGTATATTTGCTATTAAAAAAATTGCGCTAAAAATATTCTTATTTGTTTAATACTTATTAAAGAAGGTATCAGTATTTCAGTCCTTCCCGATCCTAGTACCAATGCCAAAACCTTTGCTTGTTAAACTGTTTTCTGGCATAACTTTGATAAATAATTTCTGCAAAGTACATCATTCTTAGCGTGACTTTTATGAGAGAAAAAAACATAAAGATGCAATTAACGGTAAAATGGTACAGTGTTTTGTGTATGAAAGTTTACCACGGTGTTACTTTGATTCAAACCCTGGTCCTNCCTGCGCTTTATTCGTTGCACTGGTTACCTGTACGATACAGGTCGCAGTACAAAATTCTGGTATACACATACAAGGCACTGAATGGAACAGCTCCTCAGTACCTACAGGAGCTTGTTACCCTGTATCAGCCGTCTACGGTAACGCGAGGTTACCGTAGATACGAAAAAGAACATTTGCAACATGTCTAAAATATTATGTCTCCTTGTTTATTCAACATTGGCCATTTGACGGAGAGAATTTATATAGGCTTTGCCTGTTATTCAATCCAATTGATTATGACATCTTGTCAATAAAATTTGATGAAATGAAATGAACAGGGACCCTCGTGAAGAGATTGCAGTGATTTTCGGGAATGTTTTAATTGGAAAGATCACTTATTTTTGTCGTACCCCAAAGAACTTACGAACTTTGTAGTAATAAATCAAAATAGTGAAAGATGCATTTAGGTTGAGCCTTTAGTATATATTATGTTTTGTTCACTATTTATTCACTAGTGTATTTACAAACAACATCCTATACTATCTCTTTTTTACAATAGATTTGTCCGGTATCCACTCATAAAAATCGCAAGTATCTTGAAGTGAGTCATGTGTATTGTGATTGGTATGTGTTTCGCATTAACCGGATTCTAGTCGTTTTGATATTTACTTATATATGTAACAACATTGAATTCTTCATAACTGATGAAATTTATCGTAGTAAGGTTTGGATGATAGAGAGATACTTCCCAAGCATATAGATTACAGGTCAAAAACGAGGTTATGAACCCTACTTCTTCATTCGAGGGTAGAACTTCCCTAAATCATAAACCTATATAATGATTGGCTTGGTTTGTTTCACCTTTTTTACACGATAATTTGGTAAAAATCGATTATGACTTTGTGAATGCACCAATTACTAAGTAGTTGATCAAGAGCTTATTTGAAAATAATATTTTCAGGTTTTATGAGACTAATGTTCCAAGTAGGTTTGTTTGTAATGTTTATTTTTGTGAGGCGATTTCTGATGCCAACTGCGTTTTTGCGGTAGATATTCTCACCCTGACCAAAGTCTCAAAAAAATGACGTTTCGTCTCGCATCGAAACCATGTCACATTTCGGAACATCAATCGATATGGTACGGACCATTTTAAACTCCAACATACATGTATGTCTTTAAGCACTCTCTAGTTCGAATGTAGGAAAAAGTGTTGGTGTTTTACTGAACTGTCTCACGTTTTACCAGATTTCTCTATCGCCACTATGGTATGGTTTCTCCCTCACCCTCTAGGGTATGGCTGATTTCAAACACAAAGAATCAATAATATTACGTCACAGGAGCAATCCGATATGGCGTCATATTCATCACTTGACGGACGAGGTCATGTCCTTATCAGGATAACAGGTAACAAATGCTATTGTTTTAAACAGAGTACTGGACTGCTGGGAGAATAATCCTCCCCTACCTTAAGGAAGCAACAGAGAACTCTCCAAATTTAATTGAGTGGTACTACCATCCTCGACTCAAGTGTGTTTAGCCGTATCAGCTAAACGGTGTCTCGGATATTCCCTGGTAACTCTACATCTATAGAGGTTCATAAAGGGATGTGTTTTTTCACGTTAACAGGACAACATGCGTCCTTGACTAAGGTGTGTCCACCCGATCAGATTACCAAACTATATGATGTTTAAAAAAATATTTATGAAAAGGGCTTCAAAAATCTCTCACAAAACTTTATATCTTGTAAAATATCAATTTAAAAATTACTATTTAATTTTTCGTTAAGGTCAAGGGTATCAGCAAGTTCAGCTGTAATATCACCTTTGTTACCATGGTGAATGATAAAAAAAAAATAATCATCCCCTGTCTTCAGGGTGTAACAGAGATATCTCCTTGTTTGTTATTCATCCTTATCATTTTATCAGTTTAAAGAGTATTGAGTATTACATACTAGGACATAAATATGCTAAAATATTGTCATGTTGTCATTGTCTGGTAGATATAACTTTTCATTATATATATATATATATATATATATCACATAATCGGCCTGTTATCCAGTGAATTTCGCCCGTGTAATATTTTTACATATGTCACTAGTGTAATATACTATGGAGCGTTTTTCATTGGCTGTGCCAGTCAGAACTCGATTGTGACGTCATAATATGGACAATGACGTGACGTCATAAATTATGAATGGCGCAACAAAATTGTTGTCTCCGTTTGATAAAGCCCTCTTCATTTTGGCTTTAAAATCTGTCAAATTAAGTGTAAATGTAAATGTAAGAGTTATGTGATAAAAAGTATCTTAAATTTGTTTTCATTGCATATGGGCTTTTATGAAACTCCTCTCGAAGTTTTAATTTTTGCTCGCCAAGGCTTGCAAAAATAAAAAGTCCTAAGACTCGTTTCATAAAATCTCATATGAAATGAAAACTCATTCGGAGCAGCCCGCTCTTTTTTCAAGACATACCATAGACAAAGACTAACTATAAATTTCAAAAAAATATAAATTAAAATATTAAAAAAGAATAGCGAGTATTTTCGCAAAGGAATGTAAGTATTTTCATAATGGATGAATCCCGGAAATTCCTACGAAAAGGTGGACGAACCGTCCAAAAAAGCTCGTTAAATTAAAACCCTATCGTCAACGGTATGAAAGACAACATTTTAAAACTGGATATATATATGAGCTAGTATTGAAGCATTCTGTTGCAATTAATATGGATGTGGTAAAAATAGGTGGTCAGTGGTCAAATAATTAGTCGAACAAAGTGACGAAATGATAAGTACAAAAGATACAACTTTGTCCCTTGCGTCAGTCTCCACAGCGTAGAGTCACGTGTTTTTGAAAACACGTGACTATTTGTTATATATATATATATATTCAAATATATAACTGATGATTTGCTGTTTATCAAAAATAAATAACATCTTAAATGTGTTGGACAAAATTATCAACAACAGAAATAAAGTTAAGAGCCGGAAAAAAAGATTGCAACATTGAGGAAGTATTGTCCCGAAATTAATAAACCAGAGCCCAGTTGTTAAAATTGTGATAAGCTCAATCAGCATTAAGCGCAAAATAAATTTATTTTGTTTACTTTTAAAACAGCCATTAACTGAGTTAAACTTACAAATATCAAATGTTGGCGTACAGTAAATTTACATGCAAAACTACGAGTTTTTATCTGGTATATTGACCAAATTATGAAAGGTTGAAAAAAATTGTTCAACAGTGATGTTGCTGACCATCTCTCGAAAAGCTAGGTCTTTATTATGAATCAGGAAAACTGTCATTCATCGCATCATTCTGCCTAACAGGATGCAAATACTTCGTACCGAGTCGGATGATAATAGCAGAGTACATGGAAAACGTAAAACTCAATGAAAATTGTTGTTCAAATGGTGATTAGCTTAATCAGTATTTAGCGAATTCTTTTTCCTTTTTCTTACTAACACAACCATCAACTGAGTAAAAAAGATAACAAATATTAAGGTACAGTTAATTTACATACAAAGCTACAAGTTTTTATCTGGTATGTAAACCAAATTATTGAGGTTGGAAAAATGTCTTTCTACAGTTATTAAGCTAATCATCTTTCGAACAACTGGGTCCTGCGTACTAAGAATCAGGAAGACTGTCATGCATCGCATCATTCTGCCTGTTAGGATGCACCTACTTTGTACAGGGTTGGATAATAATAACAGTACATGATAATTGTGTTATTCGTGTTAGGGACTTCAGTTGATGAACATCGTTCACATCACATTTATGTTAAAATGTATGGCCTAAGGAATGCAGCGATTCTGTTCCTTTTGGTTTTACTTCATATGAACCTATACGGAGATGCGCAGCTCATTGGAGAAGAAAAGAAATATGTTTTTCTTGAACAGGCTATGTTGGATCGAGTGAGGTCTACATTGCTAGAAATAACAAAGGCTCTTGAATTAAGAATTGGACGTCTGGAAGAGGAACTGAACGCCGTGAAGGATATGATTCCTATTAATCCTTCTACAGGTAAGTCAAACCTATGGAGATAAGGAGAGTTTGCTTTGAGGTAAAAGGTACCATTACATTTTATGGAGAAGAAGAGTTCCACTTTGTATATCTGACAAACTAAGTAGTCGTCTACAGAGGGTCCAGAACACTGCATCACGGCTAGTTTCTCGTACTCGAAAAAGAGAGCGCATCACACCTGCGCTTTATTCATTGCACTGGTTACCTGTACGATACAGGTCGCAGTACAAAATTCTGGTATACACATACAAGGCACTGAATGGAACAGCTCCTCAGTACCTACAGGAGCTTGTTACCCTGTATCAGCCGTCTACGGTAACGCGAGGTTACCGTAGATACGAAAAAGAACATTTGCAACATGTCTAAAATATTATGTCTCCTTGTTTATTCAACATTGGCCATTTGACGGAGAGAATTTATATAGGCTTTGCCTGTTATTCAATCCAATTGATTATGACATCTTGTCAATAAAATTTGATGAAATGAAATGAACAGGGACCCTCGTGAAGAGATTGCAGTGATTTTCGGGAATGTTTTAATTGGAAAGATCACTTATTTTTGTCGTACCCCAAAGAACTTACGAACTTTGTAGTAATAAATCAAAATAGTGAAAGATGCATTTAGGTTGAGCCTTTAGTATATATTATGTTTTGTTCACTATTTATTCACTAGTGTATTTACAAACAACATCCTATACTATCTCTTTTTTACAATAGATTTGTCCGGTATCCACTCATAAAA